GTGCAGCGTGCGGCCGGCAGGAGAAGCTCCCCACTGGGCTCCAGGATCCCCAAGGAGAGGCCCCAGCCAGCAGGAAAGGCTTCCCCACTCCAGGAAGGATCTGACCAGTGACCTGAGGGGTTCCCAGCCCTGCTTCCAGCTCCTCCAATCAGAGGCCAGGTACCTCGACATGAGGCCGGGGCTCCGGGAAGGTCAAGACCCCTAGCAGGCTGGAGCAGTGCCACCAGTGGTGGCTGTGTGGTAGTGTTCCTGCCTACTATATGGGAGATCTGGGTTCATAGTCCCAGCTGAGGTGACTTGGGGTGAGTGAGATACCAAGAAGCAAATCTTCTTGCAGTGGGAAGAGGCCACTGTGTTTTCCCCTCTTTCTCCCCCTCCAGGTACCAAGGCCCTATATTTCCTTGTCATTTGACATTTTGCATGTTGTGCCCTTTGTATATTTCACCAACCCATATTGTTTGTTCTGCTGTTTGAGTTTTATATTTTGTTAACCCTGTTTTGTCAGTGATTTGTAAGTGTCTAACCTTTGTTGAATCCTGCGCTCTTGGGGCATTGTAGTGTCCACTATACCCTCTGATTTATGCCTGTTATGTTCCCAGTATTAAAAGGTATATGGTTAAATCCCCATTGGTGGTCTGGCTCTGCTCTAGAGGAGAGGAGAGTCCCTACACCTCCCACAGCACTTGTGCACCTGCTTTGATCCTTTCAACTGGAGAGGGGGTACCTCTTGGTGTACCTCCTGGGTTACAATAGCTTCAAATATTTTTGCCTTGTCTTTTGAAGTTTTCTTTTTTCCGCAAGGGTAGCCACTTGGTACAACCCTCTACTACCATCCACGAATCACAATAGATATAAATGGGTTTTGTATAGCCTGACCCTAGTAACAGTTCATAGTTGGCCACGTTGACTACAGTGGCCAACTCAGCATACTGCGCACTTTGGCCGTTTCCCTCTATTGTAAACTGCGTACCATCTCGAATTCATATGGCAGCACTCCTCCAGGTGCAACATTTGGCTGAGCCATCAGTGAACCAGACTTCTACATCTTTTGATGTTTCCATGTCAGGTGAGAAAGGAGGTGCTTCCTTGATGGGAGATGGCTCATCAGATCTGGTTGCATCTGGGTATATGTTGACCGTGTTTTCTGTGACCTTTTCCACTAGTGCTGGATGTCTCTTTGGGGTTACTTGCTGTGCCTGACTTAAAATATAATAGATTCATTTCTGCACTGTTGTTTCTTGGGCCCTCCCTCCAGGCGGGAGGTGTCGGTCAGACAATGCCATTCCCAGGATGGCTACCGAAGTAGTTATGACAGTGGGTAACTCCCCTCTCAGGGCCTCTCTGGCTTCTAAAGCTGCGGCTGCTGCACACAGCATTTGTTCTAGCAGGGTGTATTGGGCTTCGGCTCCCTTCCAGCCTCAGCTCCAAAACTCAAGGGGCTTTCCCTCTGCCTTAGGTGTATCTCTTTGCCATAAGCTCCACTGGGGCCCCCCATTGGACACATTTACATGGAGCCAGAGCTCCCCTTCTGGGTGTCGTGCTGCTAGGGAGGCGTGAATGGTTACCGCCTCCTTGAGGGCCCGCATGGCATGTTGGTGCTTGGAGCCCCATTCCCACTGTGCCTTTTTCTTGCACAAATTATACAAAGGCCAACACACTAAACTCAGGGACATGCAGGTGCCAGAAATTAAGTCCTCCCAGCTGGGCTTGCAGCTCTTTTACATTATTGGGGGCAGGGGTATCTAACAGGCTTTGCAGCTCCTTAGCCGGTATGGTGTGTCCACCTTGTTGCCACTGGATTCCCAGGAATTCACACTGAGGCCCAACTTCTTGGATCTTTTTGCTGAACAGCATGACTCCAAATACCTTCACTTTCTCCTTTTGGGACTCAAAAGCACAAATGGTTAATTCCCGGTTCTAGCCTCCCACCATGACATTGTCGACATACTGCCAGACATACACCTTTGGGTGGCTTAACTGGACTTCATGGACCACTGCAGCCAGCACTCCATGGGCCCAGGTGGGGCTATGCACCCAACCCTGGGGTAGGACTGTGTAGGTGTACTGCTGTCCTAGCTATGTGAAGGCAAACAAAGGCCAGTGATCTTTATGGATGGGAATAGCAAAGAACATGTCTCTAATGTCCACGGATCCCATCCACTGGGGTCCATAACACCTAATGTTTTCTATTAACGCAGACATGGATGGGACCGCAGCTGTCAAATGGTTGGTATCTGCATTCAGAGCTCTAACATCAATAGTCAGTCGCCAATCCCCACTTGGTTTATGTATGGGCCAGAAAACAGAGTAATATTTTGGTCCTGCCCGACCCACTGACCCAACTGGATTTCAGGGCAGAGGACCAATTGTGCTGCCTCAGTGTGACTTACAGATACTGCTGAGGCTCCTTCACTATACATTCAAACTTACCAATCTATTATTGGCTCCCCTCATTTAGCTTTATGTTGCTCTTGCAATTCTTTGATTTCTGTGCGAGTAAAAGACCATGTCTCTGTCTGGGGATTTCCCCCTTGTGGCCCTGCACGGGCCCCTTGTGGAAGATTAGTTTTTAGCACCAGAGACAACACAGCAATTGTATCCACTTTAAAAGTTCAATATATTTGTTTTGCCATACTGATTGAAATGAGTACTACACTAAACAGAATCATGGGAACGTACGGCTGGAAGAGACCTCAGGAGGTTATCAAGTCCAGCCCAGTCCACGTAGGTTCATCTCTGCATAAAACTCCTTTTTTGTGATGCTACTGAGCAGTAGCCTAATACTACTCCACACTAACATCACATCACGGTTTTTGTCAGACAATAGTAGTATCAGGCTACTGCGCAGTCAGCATCTCATGGAGATATGGCCAGTCTGTGCCAAACATAGATCTTATTAATTACAGTAAGTAGCTCATCATAAATATTCAGGACAACCTCTCTTGGCTATTTTATATTATCAAAGTGCTTTGAAAACATTAATGAGTTATTCTTAACATAAAGAAGAATATTTTTCTAAAATAAGTAATTTTTGCGTGCTCAAGTCTGGGACATCTGAAAGGGGCCTGAGAGTGCTGATCCACCATACACTGGAAAGCAGACCTCAGTAAGGTGTTGCAAATTTAGCAATTGAAAGGACTACTCATTTTAAAAGATAGGCTATAATGCATTCTGTAGAGATACTGCCTTTATTTTACAGAGTCCCGTACAGAAGAAACAACTTTCATTTATAGCCAAATTATATGAGACTGGTCTAGTGAGCCATGGAAAGTGTTAGCAGTAGAAGCAAACCCAAAAAAATAGAGCAAATGATCTAAAAAAAACATTAGCCGTGCAATGATAAAAACATTGCTTAGTGCCTATGGGGCTGAGAAATGCCTCTTACAAGTTATTTAGCCAAGAGAATGTAATGAGGGAATATTGAGAAAGCATTCACGATGGATAAAGCTATCACTGTGCTATTTAGGATCATCTTGTCCTTCTAAGATGCACAGTGGCATTTCATAACTTCTCTCTGCGTGCTTCAGCAAGCCTGTCTTTAAAATGCTTCATTCTTTCCCTGCTAAGTGCAACTGCAGGAACTCTAATACAGTATTTGGGTTGTTGGCAAAAAGGGGGGAGAGAGAAGCTCATACAAGAGTGACATGGGCTCAAATGTTTTTGTTTGCTTCAAGCAATGCACTGTGAGAACAGCATAATCTTATTACTCTAATCCAAGAGTTATTTGCCTGAAAAGAAATTCAACCGTGGCTGCACTGCTTTCTGTTTCCCTGCCTGTGGTTCTCTTTTATTCCTGGCAAATCCCTCACTCACTCTGAATTAATATTTATTTAGATCTCACAAATGTCTAATAATGCAGGGGCTATGGGTATGTGACTGCAGCAGCAATGGTACTTGCATCCAGATCTTAGTAAAAGAGGAATAATACTATGGAAGAGAGCCCTTGCTTCACTGAATGGGTCTCTACACTTTTTGGGTTTTCTTCATAACTTGAATGAATTGGACAAAAAATGTCTTGATGAGTGTTAAAGTCAGTGACTTGTCTGTTTCTAAGACTGTTGTTAATGTTGTTGGGTATTTTTCTTTTTAAGATTATTCATATGAGGGAAAAAATGTAGATGAAAGCCAGTCAAGGAGGAAACTGGGAAAGATTCTAAGAGGGAGCTGCTGCAGTGAAGCAGTAATAGGGTAAGGGTGTGTGTAGTTAAAGGAGAGTCTTTATTTTAATAAGTTTCTTTGTTCACTTTTAGAAAAAAAAGACTTTCTGTGATTTTTTTTTAATTCCCATTATGAACAGTATTCTAAAGAAACAGGATCAAAGAGTCCTTCCATTTCTTCGTAAGTTCTAAAGTGTACTTAGATACCATTGTGATTTGGTATAATAAGAATTTAAATGGAAAAGGGGGGAAATGAATTTGAAGCACTTGAACTCCAATGATTCCCTTTGTTCTGCATTACCAAGATATTATTTCTAGGCACAAAAAAAATGTAGACTCTTGTATTAAAAAGATTAAATTCTGGAATAATCTGGCATCTTGTTATTGCCCACTTAAAGATCATTTATCTTGTACAAGCTTCAAAATGAACCTCTTTTACCAATTCATGTGGCATTTACCATTTCTTAAGAATAATTAAAGGAAATATATTCAATTATGTGTCCTCATGTTATCAATTTGTATAAAGTGTTTGAGAAAAATGCTGTATTTATTCTTTGGTGCCTGTTTTAATTGACATTTTTGATTATAGCTCCTCCTCTACCCCCTCCCCTCCACCAATACTAGAATTTCTCTTGTCAGTGTACTAAAACATTAATATTGCTTCCAATTTTACTCGGGTTGACATCTTTATTACCTCTGTTAGGTTGAAAGCTGATCAGAGAAATTCTAATGAAATAGTTTTTTGTCACAATTTTGTTTATGAAATCAAAAAACATTTTGTGGGAAGTCTGATTTTTCAATAACTTCTGCCAGCTTGACTGTCCAGGTCCAAGGAAACCTGCTGTGCCCTTAGCCTCTGAGAAAGGAGCTGGCAGCCTCACAACTCCCAGTTCTCTAGCAGCCTATACAATAGGCAACTGCAAATCCTGTCTTTCAAGTTCTCCATTCTCGGTGGGCTGCTAAGCTGCCTGTCATGGAGCAGGAGTTCTGGGCAGTCCTGGAAGCTGTGGACTGTGGACAGTTCTGTAAATTTAGTGATGGCTGTAAGTGAAAATGATAAATCTTGTATCAGTTTCAGTCTGAGGCTGCCAGTAGTTCACAGTCCTCTGTTCCACTTCAAACTACAAGGTGGGCAGATAGCATTCTTTGAAACATTTCATATTGGAAATAACAAATTCCATAGTATTCAGAATGAAAGCTTGTGGGGTTTGTTTGATGGGGGGAAAAATGAGTTTTTAGCTATTTGTCCCAACTGACACAGGAAAAAATAATGAAATCTCAAAATTTTTCCCAACAGAGGAAAACCAGTTTTTTCCCTCCTTTAGTTAGGATGAAGTTCATCTTCTCTGTTCTTACTCCTGAATTTATAGTTTTTGGTTGATTTCTGGTAGCTTTCCACATGTGTACACTTGCATACGTATGCACGCGTGTGCACGCGCACCCCCCCATATATGGTTTAATGTCTTTGAATACTGGGCACATCTACATGTGCACTTTAATGTGCATTAGCCTATTTTAATGTGCATTAAAGCATCAGTTTTGAAAGCGCCTGGCACTGTGTTTCACATTTGTATAAACAGTGAAGTATGCGTCAGTGCTGAGAAAATGGTGGTGGCATGTTTTTGAACTAAAACACATTGAAGGTGTTTTAGTTCAAAAGCGGACTGCTGCTTTTTTCCCAGTGCCGATGTGCATTTCGCTATTTATACAAATGTGTGCGACACAGTGCCGGGCGCATCAGTTCACATGTGCATCTCTAGCACATCACTGCACAAAAAGATATGTGTATAAATGCCTTGTGCTATGTAGTTAATGTGTATTAAGACAGGCTATTGTGAATGTTCTTAATACCTCACAAAGGGCACGTCTACATGTGCATTATTGCGCTTTAGTTAATATGCACTAAATCTAGTACCTCCATTGTGAGGTACTAGAGTCTCCTATATACATGCAGAGAGCCAGCTCAGACACTCTGGAAATAAATATGCTCCAGCAGACTCTGGCATTATGTGTATTAGTGTCCCCATGCCAAAAAATTATGACAGATGCTTTGAACTAAAGCTCGTTCAATGAGATTTAGTTGAAAGCGCCCTGCCACCATTTTTCACCATAGGGTTTGCTAATACATGTGCATTGCTAATTCATTAAGCACATTTAATGAAAAGTCCTTGCTAATTAAAGTGCCCCACCCCCACGCTTCTCAGAGCATGTGTAAAAATACCCTAAGAAAATGCTCATTAGCCAGTCTTAATGCATGTTAACTAAACAGCATGGGTTTTAAGTGACACAATGCACATTAGCCTATTTGAATTTGCATTAAATAGCAGATTTTTACTGATGGTTTATTGTGCGTTAAAATAAGCTAATGTGCATTAAAGCCCATGTGTAGATGCGCCTGGTGGTATTCAATTTAATGCACATTAACTAAAGCATGTTAATGCACATGTAGAAGTGCCCACTGTTGCATTTTTTTGGATGTATATATTTTGGGAGCCCTGACTGTAACTATAACCCTCCTCCCTCCCAAAAAACCCACCCTTGTCCATACAATTCAAGCATTTCCATGTTGGATGCACATTTGGTTGCATTTATTGTTAAATTATTAGGTGCCAGATAAAAGCTATTTTAAAAGCTTGATTGTGTTCTGCCAAAGTCTGGTCCAAAAACTAGAATGCTGTTGCTGAGGATGACACCATTGCACATGAGTAGAATTACTTTTCTGATTATGTTTTTAAAAATTTCAGCAGCTGAGCATATCCCATCAATTAATCTTTTGCATCATTGCAGAGTTACATCCTTGAGTAAAAAATGCTAGCTAATAGCAGTGTTCTGATGAAAATTATAGCTAAGGAAAACATGCATTAAAAAGTGGATTGTGAAAAGGGTCTTTTTAGTGAATTCTAAAAAGTGTTTGAAAGAAGATAATCTCTATCTTCTTCTCTACCACTGAATAAAGAAACTGAATTTTCAAGGCGATTGTTAGCTTTACTTAGGATTTACAGTTTAGGAATTAAAAGTTACAAAATTGGGCATTTACTGATGCACTACAGCTTTAAATGACACATTTGCAGTACTGTTGCTAGTTTGTTATAACAGACGGGGGAAAGGAGTTCATATTGTCTGTTAATAGATGTAATTACTCAAATCTACAGTGTCTTTCAAATCCAACACCAACTTCCAGTATAATAATTGTTCCAATTGCTGAATAAAAACTTGTTAATTTCTGTGGATGCTAAAACAGCAGGCCGTTAATCATATTGCTACTGGCAAAGAATCATCTGAATGTGTTATGTATTCGATGAAATGCCATTACATGATGGTTTATATCTCTGCTATGCAACTGAAAATTAGAATTATAGAGTACAAGAGGAATAAGAGGAATTATAGCAGCTCATGGGTTTTCTTTCAACCTGAAACTGAACCTTCTACAACAAAAAGTTCCCTGCTCATTTCATTGGGTCCCTGGATGCTTACCTAATTGTAAATGCAGTATACAGGGGTGCAGGAAACATTGGGTGTATCTACATGATCTAGATTAGACTAATCTGATGCACAGTAAAGTGTCACCATCTACATAGATTCATAGATGTTAGGGTCAGAAAGGACTTCAGTAGATCATTGAGTCCAACCTCCTGCCCTGGGCAGGAAAGAGTGCTGGGGTTTAGCCTTTTCTTAAAGACCCCCAAGGCAGGGGACAGCACCACCTCCCTTGGAAGCCCATTCCAGATTTTGGCAACCTTTACCATAAAGAAGTTCTTTATGATGTCTAACCTAAATCTGATCTCCATCAGTTTGTGGCCGTTGCTTTTAGTGACTCCAAGGGGTGCCCTGGTAAACACAGCATCCCCTATTCCTTGCTGCCCCTCCTTGATGAATTTATAGGCAGCCACAAGATCCCTTCTCAACCTTCTCTTGTGGAGGCTGAAGAGATCCAGGGTCATCAGTCTCTCCTTATAGGGCTTTGCCTGCAGGCCCCCAGCCATAGGAGTGGCCCCCCTCTGAACCCTCTCGAGGTTGTGCACATTCCTCTTGAAGTGTGGCATCCAAAACTCGATGCATCAGCTTGAGATGCAGTATTCCAATTGTGTCCTGACCAATGCTGCATAAAGGGGAAGTGTCACTTCCTTAGACTTGTTTGTCATGCACCTGCTAATGCATGATAAAGTGTGGTTGGCTTTACTGATCACTTTATCACATTGACAACTCATGTTCATCTTGGAGTCAACAGTGACCCCAAGATCCCTTTCTGGTGCTGTACTGCTGAGAAGGTTCTCCGATGTACACAGCCATTACTGTGCAGTAGATTAGTCTAATGTACCATTACCTAGTACTTGTATATACAGGTACTAGAAACTGGTGCATTTAACTAATGTACCAAAGTGCACATGTAGATGCTGATCAGGAGCTAATTGCTCCCAGTCAACCTAGGCAACCGGGGACAGGGAGAGCTGTCCCAGTTTGGCAGGATGCTGCCTTCCAGCCACGTGGAGAATGGAATAGGTCCTGATCACCATGTGGCTGGGAGGCAGCTGCCTGGCAAGCAGGACAGCTCTCCCAGCCCCGTGGAGATCAGGGCAGGTTCCAATCTCGATGTGGCTGGGAGGCAGCTGCCTGGAAGCCAGGACAGCTCTCCTCTGCCCCACAGAGATTGGGACAAGCCCCCAGGGAGCCTGGAGCTCCCCCCTCGCTGCTGCAGGGGGGCAGAATAGGACAGGAGCAGGCCTGGACTGAACTGCTCCTGTTGGAAGCAAATTTGCTTCCAATGGGCACATATTCAGATGTGTGCAGGGCTGCATTTTAATTCACCTGAATTTTCTATGTATAAAATTTAGGCTCATTAATTGCACATGTAGATATGCCCATTCTGGGCTAGAACTAACCCTTCTGGATCTATCTGCATTGGAAAAAATGTGATGGAGTAAAGAGTGGGCAGACATAGAAGAATTCAGTGACCCTGCAAATTCAAGTGTATGCATTTTCATTGGCCTTCCTTTCTAGCTTGGGAAAGTTTGGGGGATAATAGGCCCTGGGATGATTAAAAGCCCAGGGCGGTCAGATGTCTCAGTGGCTGGAAATGAGGACTGCTTGAGGCCCTGGTTGCTTCCCTGACTCTCTGTTAGATGGTGACCTTTCATCCTTTACTTCTTTTTTATGCTGCTCAGGAGCCAGATATACGGACCTTATCCCTGGACCTAAGGCTGAATGTATGTGAAGCTGCCTTGTATTTATGTCTGTATTTACTTGTTTCTTGGGATTTTTTGCTGCTGTGTAGCTGTGGAGCCTAGTACCTCTGGTTTATTAGATTTTTCCAAGCCATGATAAATTTGAGCAACAGGATTTACTTTTTCTAACTTTCTTTATCCTAGAAAGTATGAAATCAGTGGTCAAAGTCTTATTGTTGATTTTGTCCAAAACAAAAGATAAAACTACAACATGAAATAAAAGCAAAATGAATAGTGTGCCAAATGAAGGTGAGAATACACCACTGTACTAATATAAATGTCTCATAATTCATAGTTAGATATAAATAATTGTTGAGATTTTTTAAGTTAACATCTATTGCTTTGAAAAATCTGGTAGAACAACTGAAAGTTATTACTAAATGAAAATAATGTAGCTATAAGTCAATTATGTAATAACTGGATTAAAACAGAACCAGATCATAACATAAATCAAAATGAGGGGCATACAGGACTGTATGCAATTGCAAAACTACATTCACTACTGTGTATACAAATAATCTATTTTATCATACAAACTATTCCCAGAAATAGAAGATGGTCCTGTTTTGCCTTGCAGTGCCTCAGAACTTATCTGTCAAAGCAACAATTTTCTCCATGTCATACTAGCTAGACAGAGTTCTGTAAGTGGTTTTCTCTTAGAATGATAAGGTCAGATTCTACTCTTATTAGTAGCTGCTTCTATTAATTTTACTGCTACTCTAAGATTTCTATTCATTTCAATCATATAAGTTCAGAGCAATCTGGTTGACTTCAATAATTCCACTGACTCTATCCATGTAACAGATAAAAATTGACTTAGAAGAGTGACATTTAGTTAGGCCATATTAGGTATATTATCCATTCTATATCTATTAGAGGTCAAGAAAATATATGTATTAATTTTGCAGAGGAATTTATTAATGCTTTTGAGAGCTTTCTGACCTCACTTCTAAAGGCAGCTTATTTCATTTAAATTTTATTTAGTCTAAGCTGTTTCTTGCCTTATCAAATATTTAATTTTAAGGATCTTGCTAAAATCTGTAGTATTAACATCTTTTGTTTGGGTTTAAAAGCTCTAAGCACTTCATAGTAGGTTATACTAGCTCAAAATTATTTCCCTGTTAAGCTGATAAATAGCACTTACATGGGTCACTTACACAGATTTTTAATGCAACTCTCCCAGTCTCAGCTGGTGACTGGATAAAGAATGCAGACAGATAAAAGACCAAAACAAGAAAAATCCACCCTAAAACAGTTTAATAGACTAGCTACACTAAGGGTATAGGAAAGGAAATATTATTATACCCATTTCATGGATAAGAAACATAGACAGAAAAGTTAAGTATCTTGCTTGACATCACAAAGGAACGTTGTGGCAAAACTGGGAAATCAATTCAGATCTTGATTGTAGCTTGTGACAACACCCAAAGGCTCCTATCAGGCCTTGTACTTTATGCATATACAAGAAAATATGGG